AAGCTCAGTTTATCCGAACAATCTTGGAGAAATCGGACATGTTGTTTCGTCATGTGGCCTACGAGTTCATGATCATAAGCTGCAGCTATAGGATCTGCAAATTGTTGTGGAGATGGACTTATCTCTTCTTCTTGAGCTAGAGTTTGATAATAAGTCATTGATGTGGCTACGAGAAATGCTAAGAGAATTGCTTTATTCATTTTCTTTATTGTTCTTGTGATGGAAAAAAAGGTTTGATGTAGGACAGTTTTTATATGGTCTAGTGATGTGTAACGAGTAGCTTTTTATGTTTCTTTTCATTAAATGATCGTTTGATTTTGAAATGCTAGTACATATGTTTTTTTTTAAATGCTACATATATTACATATGTTTAAATGTTACAAATGTTATATACATACGTTACATAATTAATGATTCAATCGATTTTTCTTTTTTGTAATAGAGATGCAAGAAATACTTGTTTCTGCTACACTACTTTTTAGCCATGTCCATTTTAGATTTGATCAGACAACTTTACTACTAGTACTATCCAATTTTTTGGGCTAAGACAGTAGAAGTTTGGATCACAATAGTTTATTCCAAAAACTCAAAAAGTTAAAGTACACGACTCAAATAATTTCCAAAAACATTATAAGATGATTAAAAATATTTAAAATAATCTAATATTTTTAAAATCACAGAAAAAATTACTCAAATATTTAAAATTACACATAATTTACTTATATTTATTCGAAATACCCGAACTCTTGTTAGGCAGAGCGAAATTTTTTTCTTTTCGTTATTCGTTACATCACCATATACATTTTATTACATATAGTACCATGCGATTACAATAAACAATTCCACAAACACGACTTTTGCCTACAATATATGAATTTACAACAGATTTCTACATGCATAATATTCATAATGGATAACTTTCTCCGCAATACTCAAAACTCCGACATCCTCTAATAGTTTAATTTTGCATCATATCTGAAAAATTAAACTATATAGCTAACGTAAAAAGCATTAAAACTTTTTGACAGAGAGGATCAAGAACAAATTGCATAGATCTACATAGGCTTTTATGTTATAATGGGCCTATGGGCCAAGTCGGTTAAAGCCCATATTGAGACGAGTGTGTCACACTGTATAACAAAACCCTAGCTTCAACGCCAC